TTTCACCAACTTTCTTGATCTTCTATAATCTTTTAAATCTTCTGTCATAACAGTCAATTTAAATTTCTTAAATTTATTGTGTTTTTCTTTAACTTTATCTCTTAAACTCTTTGTGAGTCAACCTGTTTTTTTATTTGCAGCTACTCTTTTCTTTCTGTAAGGAATATGTTTATCTTGAATATTTAAAAAATTTCCACATGTGATCAGTGTCTCCAAGTAATTCAGCTGCCCAATTCACAACAGATAATTCTTGTCGCATCCCTTCAAAATTAGCTTTTTTTGAAATTTGTAACCTTATCTCATTATTCCTTGTCTCCATATGCAGCAAAACATTGAATCTAACAGAGCAATGATCACTTGCATCCAGTTTCCACCTTCTCAATCATATCTGTATTTGAAGTTAATAAGTTTAAAATAGCATTGTTTCTACTTGGTTCCTTGACTAACTGGTGAAGAAAGCCATCCTGAACAGTTTCCAAAAACATTTTTCCCTCATGGTTTAACTCTAGCATTTCCCAATCTACATGCCTGAAATTAAAGTCAATATAATTATGACTTCATTAACAGCTGAAATCTTAATCTCATTTTAAAGTTTTTCACTAATTTCATCAGTATCATTTGGAGCCCCCCAGTGGCACTGCGGTATGTCTTCGGACTTACAACGCTAGAATCTTGGTTTCGATACCCGTGGTGGGCAGAGCACAGATAGCCCATTGTGTAGCTTTGTACTTAATTACAAACAAACAGTATTATTTGGTAGTCTGTAACAAATTCCCACTAAAAGCCTTTTCTCTTTATATTTAATAATGGATTCAACTTCAACAGGATGTAACTCACATTTTACATATAAAGCCACTCCTGCCCCACCTCTTTAATACTCTATCCCTATTAAATAGCCTATAACCCTGTATCTCAAAGACATTTCTGTCATCAAAAGGATCTATGTTTAACCACGTTTCGGTTATTCCAATTATATCAAAATCCTTCATTCCTACTAGTGCACTAAAGTAATCTATTTCACTTCTTATACTTCTAGCATTACAATAGTAACAATTAATACTATACCTCTATCTACTTCTATACTTATTTCTTATACTAAGCCCCCAGTGGCACAGCGGTATGTCTGCGGACTTACAACACTAGAAACCGGGATTCGATACCCGTGGTGGGCAGAGCAAAGATAGCCCATTGTGTAGCTTTGTGCTTAATTTCAAACAAACAAACAAATCCTATGCTAAACTTTTCTCTGTCTATTATTCTTTTTGCGTTTAGTTTGTCCAGGTCCTCACCACTGTCTAGTCCTAGTTTAAAACTTCCCTTACAGATGAGTTAATAGCGGTAGCAAACAAGCCAGCCTCTACTCTATTTAAATGTAAACCATCCATTCCAAAAAACTCCCCTTTTCCATTGAACTGATCCCAAGTCCAACCAGCCAATCTGCTCATCCTTACATACTAACCTAAGCCTAGCATTTAGCCCTAGTGACCTACTTATAGCTTCATCCCCACAGTTAATTCTAGGCAATATCCCTGACAAAATTATGGCCTTTTTATTTAAATGCCTTTATCAACCCCTTGCATATATTAATTAGCTTCTCTGATTTACCTTCCGCTACATCATTACCCCTATATGCACCAGAAAAACTGCATTTCTGGTAGTCCCCTTTATTATATCTCCTGCTCTGTCAGTTATATTCTACACTTGCGCCCCTGGTTAGCATAATTTGATTAGTTTCTCCTTATTTACCTCATAGATTATTCTCTCCACATGCCTTGTCAAGTAATTACTTATAACTATAACCTTCATATCATCCACATCTTTCTCTGACCCTTTTATTTTCCTTCCTTCCAATTGTTCTTCATCTGTAGAATCCAAGGGCTGAAATCTGTTGCTCAACAGAATAGGCTCATAATTAAATTCACTACTTTTAGCCCTAACAGTACTCTTTCTAGCTTCCTGAAAGTCATTGTTAGCTGATGTATACCTTGCATGCAAAAGCCCAAGCTGTTCTCGAGATCCTGCTTCCATTTCCCACAGTTTACCCTTTTCATTATCTATTGCTGCTACTTTAATCATGATAGCCTCTAACTTCTCCTCCAACCTACAAACTCTACATAAAAATTGCACATCTTCATTACTAGCTTCCTTAAAAGTACATTCCAGTCCGGAGTTCCCAAATAAAAAATACGATTTGTAGGTAAATTTTTGTTTGTTCATTTATTTTAATTTACCATACGCGTAAAGCTTTGTCCAGTCAGTTGATTTTTATACTAATGAAATGTTGGTGTAAAATTCTATATGCTCAGTTTTATGTCTACGACAATATTTTGCAAGGTTTCGTGTGTTATTGTTTGTCTGATTTTATTTATGAAACGCTAATGTAAAATTCCATTTGTTCAGCTTTATGTATACAACTTCCCTATGTAAAGATCATTCTGTTACTGGTTGCTTTCTTTGATGACACGTTGATGTAAAACTTTTTTTGACTTTTTTTATTAGAACTCCCAGTAGAAACCCAAAACGGCTCAGTATGCGACACCTGGAATAAACAAATAGAGTAAGAGACACCCAGGGAATCAGGTATAACCATCCCTAATTCTGAACTGCTGATGAGAAGAAAGCTTGTCAGTAGTACTTGCTGCCACAAAGATTTGTCTGGCTAGGAACAGAATAATCGGTTGACTGTGACTCTTATAACGCTCATGGAACTGAAATTGCAGAGTGTGTTCAACGGCATCGTGGCTCAAACTTTGGACCTTCTGATACACAGCCCGGTGAGATAACCATCAGGTCATACTCGGCCCTTCTTGGTGCAAATTTATGACACAGTGACCAACAATTGCATATGTTATCCTTACAATTCTGTGGTGTAAAGTTCGTTGTGTTATTTCGGAAATTTTTAATTACAATGTGACGGTATAATGCTTCTTCGGTTCAATGTTTTTAGTTATTCTATGCTGGTGTAAATTTTAGTTTTTTATTGTACTTAGAACATGCTAGTGTTAAATGTCAACGTTTTTAAAATTTCTGACTGCTAGTTTAAAGTTCCTTTAAATCAGTTTTTCACTTATAACATTTAGGTGTAAGATTTAGTTTCTTTAAGATTGTTTTACCTCGGATATAATGGTGTAAAGTTCCGTTTAAAAATTATTTATGACATGTTGGTGAAAAAATGCATTTATTTTTTGAGTTTTTTTACCTACTACATGCCTCTGTAAAGTTCTACTTGTTGATTTTGTTACTTTTGACAATTTGGTGTAAAGATTTTGATTATGCCTTTTTTTAAAACTTACGACACGCTGGTGTACTCTTGCCAGTCGACAAATACATCTTGACAGGTTCTGCTTTCTTGTACTGCTGCCAATTGCCGGCTCTGAACCCTAACGGTGCACAGAGAGAGCCGTCACCACAACCATCCGTACACTTGGCAGACGTGAAGTTCGTGAAACTGTCACAGACGTAGCCGAAGAACGGACAATCGGTGTTAATAGATTCCGTGAAAAGCTGCCAAGACGGAACGGTTTCGCAGCTGTCAAACTGGCCTGTAAAAGATACGGAACAAACAATAATAAAAAAATATTCCTGAGTATTATTCTATGTTTTCTATCAAAGACAACAAACGTTGTAAGAAATTCAACAAACTAATTGTTTTGGAGTTCTTGTTTTGGTACAAACATATTAACTGGTATTTTACACCTAATACGTACCTCTGCCAATGGTGTTGCTACAACCACTTGGCTTCTTGCCCCCGTTTGGATAAAAGTCTAGATGACCACTTGGTTCCACCTGATCGATTTCTAAAAACAACAACAAATAATAATAGATAAAAATAAGTACAATCGGAGCTTCAAATATTTCAAACGATTTTTATAAAGATTATAATTTTCATAAATAGATACTTCCCCCACAACCATGCCTATATTTAACGGAGTTAAAAGGTTGAAAATGTTGAAGTTGAGCCCTCCACTGGCACAGCGGTATGTCTATGGACTTACAACGCTAGAATTCGGGTTTCGATCCCGTTGTGGGCAGAGAACAGATAGCCCATAGTGTAGCTTTGTTCTTAATTACAAACAAACATTGAAGTTGATTATTTGAGTATGTGTGAAAATCTCATCAATTTAGCAATATTAACATACCAGTAAATATACTTGTTTGTGTATTATGAGAAAATGCTACTTTTATCTATCGTGAAGGGTATCATAAGTGAGAGAAGGTTTCTCGAAAGAAAAAAACGTGCGATTTAGAAATGTGTTATAAATGTGGAAAAAACGAACATAGAAACAGAGTAAGTCAATCAGTCAGATAGATAGATAGCTGAAAACGTTACGGGAATCTTCATAATAGCCTGATTTTTGCCATATTTTACCTTCACGGATAAAACCTGAACTATAATATGAAACTGTTATTATTTTCCTCATTCAGGTTCTTTTTTAATTTTATTTTTCAACTGTTAGAAAACACTTGACAAATAACTTGAAACTTGTAATTTTATT